TCTTTAATATCTCAATTGTTTCTCCAAGACAGCAATAAGATTGAATGCAGACTTTTGCTCAAAGGAATAGCTCACCCAAAAATGAACATTTACTTGTCAGTTTGTTTCTGCATGGGAACAGATTTGAAGAAATTTAGCATTCCATCACTTGCTCACCAGTGGATCCTCTGCAGTGAATGGGTGCCGTCAGAATGAGAGTCTAAACAGCTAATAAAAACATCACAGTAATCCACAAAACTCCAGTCCATCAATTAACAGCTTGTGAAAAGAAAAGCTGCGTGTTTGTAAGAAGCAAAATTGAATCTGACATGGTCCGCACACTGGACACATGCAATCAGACCAAAAAAATATATACATATTTTCTTTTTCATAAGAAAAAGTGAAAAAGTGACAAAAATGCAAGGTGTCTTAAAAAACAGACCAATTTCAGCCCATGCTTTCTTCAGTGCTCATGAGGCAAACAGCAACGTCACACTTTTATAGACACAATTACTAATTAATTGAGCACAGAAGAAAGCATGGGCTGAAACATCTAATCTTTGGTCTGTTTTTAAGACACTGCATTTTTGTCACTTTTGCTTATGAAAAATAAAAGATATATTTCTGGTCTGATTGCATGTTTCCAGTGTGCGGGCAATTTCGTCTACCTGGTTGATTATACTTATTGTTCTATGCACCTGAGAACGTATTGGCTTTTCTTTTCTTTTTTGAGTGCATATTTCTTCCAATCTGTTCTGATGAATAAACAAACTCATATACAACTTGGATGACCTTAGGGTGAGGACATTTTCAGCAAATTTTAGAATTTTTTTCTTCTTCTGTATGTTAATAAATATCCGTTTAATTCTAGCAGATACATCTGAAACAAACTTGATGTGCAACCAAGAACTTCATTAAGCCTGAACTCTGAAAGAGCAACAGCTGAGCAATAAATTCTGGGAAGATCAAAATGTGTTGAATGTACAATCATACTGTACACTGTAAAAAATGACCGTGAATTTAACGGTAAAAGACTGTAAAAATGCTACAGTAAAAACCTGTTAAATGGTTAACGGTAAATTCCCCTATTATATACGGTGGATACATTACATGTAATTTTACGGTAGAATACTGTAAAAAAAGACCATATAATTTACAGTGAATAACTGTAAATTGACATTCCCAGAATTCCCTGCGTTACATTTCAAATTTGATGTTTTTCTGTTGAAATAGCTATGTTTCTTCTTAGTTTTTTCTTATCAGTTTTGTATATTAGGGTTGTGTGTTACACCTAATGTTGTTAAATGAATGTTTATTGCATTATTTCAGTTTCATGTGTGTTACCATGATGGTGTTTAGTGTTTGTGTGAATGACACTGTGCACCTTCTATATATGTTAATATTTAAAAGCTGCTTGTGATGGGCTTTTGGTTCATCGTGTGACTTTTTCATCACCACCTGCATTTGGTGGTTATCAGTGTATTACAAAGGTACAAAACAGATTTCAGTACTTCAATAGGTTGATATATTAACATTATATCAGTTAATGAAATTACGGTATTTAACTGTAAATTTAAGTTAAAACCGTCAAACCTAAAACGTCACTACCATATTTTTTTTACGGTAAAATTCTGGCAACTACAGCTGCCGTTTTTTTACCGTAAATTTTTTACAGTGTAGCACACGATACCTTTCATATCTCAGTACATTCATATCATCGCTCCCATTTTGCTTTGTATAAATGTGTTACATAATAGTAAATGCTCTATAATGGTAACTAAATACTCAAAGTTATATATCATATGTTAACAGGCTGATGAAATTGTCTGTGAAATGTACACCAATTAAACACTCGTCTTTTATAGGATGGCTGGTAGAAACTTCAGATTGACGTTTGTATAAATGATCAATGACCATCCTTAAATTCACCCATTTCCAAATTACCTTCAAACTTCTTTTAACACTATACTGTATAGGATAAAACCCCATGACCCACATACAAACTCATAAAACGTCAGCAAATGTTCCTGAGTGCTATTACAAATGCTTATTAAGATTCTGAAAAAATCTTCACTCGTCCCACTGAAGGATTAACAGTCCATCATGTATTTTATAATGGAGGGAACTCGATTTGTATAGTTCTAGATCTACATTCAAAGCTCAGCATATACTGTATTTATGGGTTTCTAAATTAAAACAATACTCTTCAACATTCCCTTGATGCCAGCTACAACAGCCTTGCACATGCAGGTCAGCTCTTAATCCGATTTATTAAAGCAGAAAAACATTCTCTGATATTAATTAGTTTACAACTGGCAGAATATGCATGGCAGATTGCTTTTTACCTCTCCATAGTGTGATTTATTATTTATTAGAGGTCAATCTGGTACTATAAAAACAACTGTATTTCCTTATAATAAGCCATTCTATATATAAGGTGCTATTTGCTTCTATAACTATCGCATGTGCTAGATAAGAAACATTCAAATCGCAAAGGTCTATATGAATCATACTTGTGAGATTTCCTCTCCTGTATGGTGAGGTATTGCACCTCAAATAGTTATGTAAATTGTGAAACTGCCTTGCATTAAATGTTCCATTGTTTTTCCGTATAGTACTAGAATAGTCATATAAATAAGTTTCCCTAAGTTACTACTAGATATTAATATGACCCTAAAGTGTCCCTCAGAATGGGATACTGAAATATAGCAGGTGTAGGAAACACTCTACAACTACTTAAATGTAACTGTGATGCATCATGGGATTGTCATAGGCCTGCCCGTGAAACTCATCTGAAAGCAATCTGGGAAAATGCCAAATTGTGTATTGTGTATGGTAGATCAATGTCATCCTCCTTATGAAGCAGAAGTGAGCTTACTTTGGTAAAGACAGCAGCTGGTACCCACACTTTGAATGTCAGCAGTGTTGAGGCACTCTTTTTATTCCCTGTAGAGAAACCCGGTGTGACTGTTCACCCGGGATCCTGTTTTGAAGTATCTAGTTATAATATCACAGGTTGTTACTGTTTTCCAGAATATTGTTATCGAGACAAAAATGCAGCTTTCTCAATCTTGATGTAAACCTGAACAACTACTTGTGGTAGCACAAATACGTGACTTTAAGTCAGTAAATGCTGATTTTGTGTAAACCCATAATCATTTGAATGTTGAATGTTTTGATTTCCATACTTGTCAGCTAATTACATGTGAGGTTACAATTATTGAGAGGAAAAAATAGAGAAGAAAGACTGCGTCAGTCTAACATATGACCCAAAATATACACCAGTGTAGAGGAAAAACAAAGAGTCTCAAAGTATTTTTTCTGTTGTGCACAAGTAACATTCAGTTTGAATACTGATGAAGAGCAGGACTAGAGCGCAAAATGCTCTAATCATGTATAAAGTGGCAAAATGGGTTCAATACAAGTTAAGCTGTATTAAGCAACATAATGTTGAACAGCACAGAAAATACACAACATGTTCAAAAGTTTGGGCTTGATAACTTTTGTTTTTGCCAGAAGTCTCTTATGCTCACCAAGGCTGCATTTATTTGATTAAAGCTGGGGTAAAAAATCTGAAATATTATTACAATTTGAAATAACTATTTTATGTCAATATATTTTAAAATGTAATTTATTCCTGTGATGCTAAGCTGAATTTTCAGCATTATTACTCCAGTCTTCAATTTTACACGATCCTTCAGAAATCTTTCTAATATGCTGATTTGCTGCTCGAGAAACATTTCTAATTATCAGTGTTAACTTTTGTGCCGCTTAATATTTTTTGGAAACTTTTTTTTTTGTTATGAAAGTTCAAATGAACAGCATTTATTTACATTTACATTTAATCATATAGCAGACGCTTTTATCCAAAGCGACTTACAAATGAGGAGAATGGAAGCAATCAAAATCAACAAGAGAGCAATGATATGCAAGTGCTATAACAAGTCTCAGTTAGCTTAACGCAGTACTTTTAGCAAGGTTTTTTTTAAATTATATAATAAATAAAAAGGAAATAGAATAGAAGATAGAATAGAAAAATAATAGAGCAAGCTTTTTTAAAGAAAACAAGCAGTTAGTAAATTAATTGAGTGCAAGTCTAAAAGTTTTTTTTTAAAGAATAGAATTAGAATAGAGAGTGCTAGAGTTAGAGGGTCAAATAAAGGTGGAAGAAATGTGTTTTTAGCCGATTCTTGAAGATGACTAAGGACTCAGCTGCTCGGATTGAGTTGGGAAGGTCATTCCACCAGGAGGGAACAGTTAATTTAATTTAATTTAATTTAAGTCTGTGAAAGTGATTTTGTGCCTCTTTGAGATGGCACAATAAAGCAACGCTCACTTGCAGAACGCAAGCTTCTAGAGGGCACATAACTCTGAAGCAATGAATTTAGGTAAAGGGGTGCCGAGCCAGTGGTGGTTTTGTAGGCAAACATTAATGCCTTGAATTTTATGCGAGCAGCTGTTAGTCAGTGCAAACTGATAAACAGAGGTGTGACGTACATTCTTTTCAGCTCATTAAAAGTTAATCTTGCTGCCGCGTTCTGGATTAATTGTAAAAGTGAAAAAGTGAAAGTGACGTGACATGTGGCCAAGTATGGTTACCAATACTGGGAATTAGTGGTCTGCGTTTAACCCATCCTAAGTGCACACACACACACCGTGAACACACACCCGGAGCAGTGGGCAGCCATTGGCTGGAAGACCTGCCATGAGAGCATTGCAATAGTCCAGCCTGAACAGAACAAGAGCTTGAACAAGGAGTTGTGAAGCATGTTCTGAAAGAAAGGGACTGGAATTTTATTTAAAATATAAATATTTTGGAACATTATAAATGTCTTTTACTGTCACTTTTGATCAATTTAATGCATCCATGCTGATTAAAAATATTAATTTATTTTGGGGAAAAAAAGTTGTATTTGGTAATTGTGACTTGTACATATATAAAGCATTTTGATTTATTTAGGTTTTGGATTGTTTTTGTTTGCTGTTTTTTCTTGCAGGATCTGGCAACACAAATGAGTCAAGGCTCTTTTTTATTGTAGTGTAAGATTTACTGCTGCAACATCATCATGAATATTTGCCTCCATCCAATTAAGAGCCAACGCCTAGAACCCTGCCCTACTTATTTTTATTTTTTTCAATAATCCATTTCACTCAGATGTGTGTCTCAACACAGAAGAAAATATCTGTTGCTACTTCACTCCAACTTTAAGTCTTGTACTGTCTGTAGTGTGCATTTTTAATGTTTATTTCCTGGCCCTGTATATTTCCATTGTAAATGCCTTAAAGTACCAACGATTATCATATTCTGTGTTAAGCAACATTATGCCAGATGTTATCAATGGAGCTTAACTCACACTGAACCACAACATGGCTATGGACTGATCTGGTTCTGTGGAGTCACGTCCACGCGCGGCCCTCCATGAACCACCAACCTTTAAATGTCATATTAATAATACCTTTAGATGTTGAACGGTGGACACCATTTGAATGTTGAGAACGTCGGTCTGTTGAAGTGGTTCGATTGTAGATTACCAAAACAATGAGGAATTTGTGTTTGCTGGTTGCTCTAAAATGTTCCTGTGTTCTCGTCCTTTAGAGCTGAAAAGCACTTATTAGCATTTCAAGTTATGAATATGTGCAGTCCTGCCATGTATTTTTCTATACAGATGAGGATATGGTTATGTTTGGGGAACTGATACTGAGCGAAGATTGTCTTTAAACAGCAAATTGAGCAGCAGCAGCTCTACCACTGCAGGAAATTATGTCACAGGAGGACATCACGCTTTGACGTGATTTGATGAAAAATTCAACCAGTAAAGTAGAAAGACTCAACAATGTGCTTTTAGTCAAAGCCTTGTGTTGTTTTTACTTACGTTCTCTATCCTGTTTCATTTTTGCTTATTCTTCAGCAGCTAAAAGCAGGGCTTGAGCATTTTGCTTAACAGAAATTGTGAATAGGTAATCTTATAGAGTTGAAAAAGGCTATCATTCCTTGTTGTGTGTTTATATCCCACATTTAGGGCTGTTTGGTGGATCGTGCACCCTGAGAGCCAATCAGATGACTGCAGAAGAACCGGGAGAAGACGGAGAATTGGAGGACGGTGAAGACGGTAGATTCCAGAAGAGCCACTTGCGTTTACACTGACGCTTTTGGTACAGGTAATCTTCCTTCTCACGCTCCTTGCGTGCCCGCTGGTAGTGATCTTCTTCCTTCAGATACCACACCGGAGGCCAGCGATGTTTCTCAAAGTGCTCCAGGTTTTCTGCAGGATAGAATGAGACCATGACACTAGCTTAATGCAGAAATAATTTCAACACTGAGATAACTGTTAGGTTAGGGGTGTCTGCCACACTGAATAAAATTGTTGGATTACCTGTAGATTTGGCCTTCATGTCACGAGGGAATTTGCGACAGACTCTGTTGTAGTTGGTGCAGATGTGATGGAGGCACCAGTCAGTCAACTGATGAGCACAGTGGAACTAATGGGAACAATCACACAGATGAAAAAAACACTATAGAAAAAAACATTTTGAGATGCTTCCCCTCCTAGACTCCAAAACAACTAGTCTATTTGGTTGCTAATCACTCCAAAAACATTGATTCATTTATTCATGCCACTTTGGCAACGTACGCACTGTCAATTCACCTTTTAGTTCTTAATCCTGTTCTGTACACACAATTTACAGCCCGCAAATGTTGTATTTACCCTGTAACTACATGGAACAATGGGGGAACAAAGCACCACTTTAACTTACAGCCCGCAAATGTTGTATTTACCTTGTAACTACATGGAACAAGGGGGGAACAACGCACCACTTTAATTTACAGCCCGCAAATGTTGTATTTACCCTGTAACTACATGGAACAATGAGGGAACAAGCACCATTTTAATTTACAGCCCGCAAATGTTGTATTTACCCTGTAACTACATGGAACAAGGGGGAAACAAAGCACCACTTTAATTTACAGCCCGCAAATGTTCTATTTACCCTGTAACTACATGGAACAAGGGAGGAACAAGTTGGACTTAAACACAGAACAAGTGTATATTTGCACAGTAATTACAGAGAAAAATATTGCACTAGTTTTAATTTAATTGTTCGATGGCCAAATTAAATCGTCTAAATTTTTTTTGCTATAAAAACACCACCGTATACATCCACTGAAATACTAATGTTGTATCATGTATTTTTTTCTGCGAACAGCTGGAAAGAGGTAAACTTGTTTTAAGCTGCATTGAATCTTGATGGTATATCATGCAAAGTTATTTGGTGATAGTGGTGTTGAGAAGTTGCTGGTGTGAAGTTGCTGAAATCAACGAATAAGCTTTCATAAGGTAAGTAGACTTGTGAATTATAAATCATAGCAGAAACTCATTGTGGCGAGGGGGCGTGGGAAGGCGAAAGGCTGCAGCGGGGGAAAGGGTTTGGAGACGAGCAGTGATAAGGAGGTCAAGTGAATAATGATTAACACCTGTTTGCAATTCCAGTGATTGGCGGAGAGACGAGAGATAAGCGCCCGCCGACCTGGGAGAGGGGAGAGAGAGAGTCGTAGCAGAGTGTGCGTTGTGTGACCAGACGAGACTGTGGAGGCAGAGAGCCAAGCAGCGATTATTGTTTGTTTTATTTTGATTGTGGCGACCAATAAAGAGGTCTACCAACATCGGCAGCGCTTCCGGTCAAGGGAGCTGGGGGACAGCGGCCAGGCATTCGTGATGGCCCAACAGCTCCGGGATGCTTGCCACAAGTGGCTGTTGGCAGAGGAACGCGACGTCGAGGGAGTGGTCGATCTGGTGGTGCTGGAGCAGTTCGTCGCTCGGCTACCACGGGGGATGGCCAAGTGGGTCCAGTGCCACCGCCCGACGTCGCTGACGCAGGCCATCCAGCAGGCTGAAGACCATCTGGTGGCGTGCCCGGGGGTTGGCAGGGCCCCTTTAAATCTCTCTCTCTCTCCCCCCCCCCTCCTTTCCTTCCGTCTCTCTCTCGCCCTATTCCTACTCCCAGGTCGTGTAGCAATGTGCCCCCACGAACCGCGCAGTGGGGTGGGGTCTTCCCAGGGACCAGACCGGGGACACGAGGGGGCGTGGCGGAGAGCGCAGGAGCCGATGCTCCATCGCCGCCTTTCTCCTCTCTCCGCCAATCTCTTGGCCATCCTTCTGCCGCTGGGGCGACGGGAAAGCCTGGGCCGGCCTGCTGGAGATGCGGGGACCTGGGTCATTTTTTGTACAGGTGTCCAATGATGGAGGTGGGCGCATTGATCCGGGTTCCCGACTCCCCGGCGGCTGCCCCCGATCAAGCCGGGCTGTACCAAATACCTGTGAGTATCGAGGGGGGTACATGTCAGGCTTTGGTGGATTCAGGCTGCAACCAAACCTCCATTCATCAAAGCCTGATGCAATAAAGGGTGTTGGATACGAGCCGCAAGGTTAAGGTGAGGTGTGTGCACGGGGATGTGGTGGGCTACCCGTTAGTAGCCACTAGCAAGGTTAAGGTGAGGTGTGTGCACGGGGATGTGGTGGACTACCCGTTAGTAGCCACTAACGGGTAGTCCATCACATCCCCGTGCACACACCTCACCTTTACCTTGTGGCTCGTATTCAGTATTTAGTTTCGGGGGAAAATGCATAGAATGAAGGTGGCAGTTAATTCCCACCTTAGGCATCCGCTGATTTTGGGGACAGATTGGCCAGATTTTACACAATTATTGGGGGTTTTGTGTGCGGATGCTTCTTGGGAGACAGGGCTAGGAAACGGGGAAGCGGTGGCGCAGGCGGGAGATGCAGTTTCGGGACCGTCACAGGCTGTCTCAGAGGAAACGAGAGTGAGGGCGGAGCTTATATCCCCTGAGCTGGATGACTTTCCACTGGAGCAGTCTCGTGATGAGACACTTAAAAATGCGTATGACCGGCGGCTCATAGTAGTCCCATGGCAGGCCACTTGGGTGAGGCAAAGACACGTGAACGACTCATGGCCCGATTCTTTTGGCCGGGCATTCACAAGAACATCCGCCAGTGGTGTGCGGGGTGTCGTGAATGTCAGCTGGTAAATCCTCCGGCCAGTTCTAAAGCGCCATTGCGCCCGTTACCACTGATAGAGTTCCCCTTCGAGAGAATTGGTATGGACCTCATCGGACCATTGGAACGTTCAGCACACGGGCATCGTTTTACACTAGTTCTGGTGGACTATGCAACACGATACCCGGAGACAGTGCCGCTGCGCACCAAAGAGTATGGCGGACGCACTGTTTCGAGTCATCTCCCAAGTGGGGATCCCCAAAGAGATAAATGGGGATAAATGGCTCGAGCCCCTGTTGTTTGCGGTGCGGGAGGTTCCACAAGCCTTCACAGGGTTTCCCCATTCGAGCTCCTCTATGGTCGTCAGCCCCGCGGGGTGCTTGACGTCATTAGAGAGGCTTGGGAGGAGGGGCCTTCAAACAGTCGTAATGAAATTCAGTATGTCCTGGACCTCCGAGCAAAGCTCCACACTCTGGGGCGGCTGTCAATGGAGAATTTGCTCCAGGCGCAGGACAGACAAAGTCAGCTGTACAACAGGGGTGCGCGAGCGCGGCAATTTACACCGGGAGAGAAAGTGCTTGTATTACTTCCAACGTCTAGTTCTAAATTGCTCGCGAAGTGGCAAGGACCTTTTGTGGTTACACGGCGAGTGGGGGATCTCGATTATGAGGTTAGGCGAACGGACAGGGGTAATTCATGTCAAGCTTATCATCTCAACCTTTTAAAACGTGGGAATGAGGTGACCTCGGTGGGGTTAGCAGCGGCCATTTCAGCAGAGGAAGATCTCGGACCGGAAGCGGCTGTCAAAACCAATCCGCTCACTCTGGTCCCTGGGGGAGATCACCTCTCGCCGCTGCAGCTCACCGAGCTAGCCAAGTTGCAAGCGGATTTTGCTGATGTAGTTTTCACCCCTGCCTGGTCGCACGAACCTCATACAGCACCACATCGAAATGATCCCCGGGGAAGTGGCGCGCAGCCGCCCCTATCGGTTACCGGCGCACAAGAAAAAAGTGGTGCAGGATGAATTAACAGCCATGCTAGGGTTGGGAGTAATAGAAGAATCGCATAGCGACTGGGCAAGCCCGACAGTTTTAGTGCCTAAAACGGATATTCAATGCCCCGAGTTGACGAGCTGCTTGATCGGTTAGGTTCGGCTCACTTTTATTCGACACTGGATTTAACGAAAGGGTATTGGCAGATCCCCTTGTCGCCATTATCCAAGGAAATAACAGCCTTCACCACGCCGTTCGGGTTACACCAATTTGTTACCCTTCCGTTCGGATTGTTCGGGGCTCCCGCCACCTTTCACCGTCTCATGGACAAGATCCTCCGGCCGCTCTTGCACTCTCCTAACTTTGATCTCCCTTTCTTGTTGCAGACAGACGCGTTGGACAGGGGGCTGGGTGCAGTCCTGTCCCAGGTGGTGGGAGGAGAGGAGCGGCCGGTGCGGTATCTGAGTCGAAAGCTCTCAAAGAGAGAGACCAGATACAGCACTATTGAAAAAGAGTGTTTGGCTATTCGGTGGGCCATCCTCACTCTCCGGTATTACCTCCTGGGACGGGAATTCACTCTCTGTTCGGACCACGCGCCCCTTCAGTGGCTCCACCGTATGAAGGATACCAACGCGCGGATCACCCGTTGGTATCTAGCTTTACAGCCTTTTAAGTTCAAGGTGGTCCACAGGCCGGGGGCCCAGATGGCTGTGGCCGACTTCCTCTCTAGAAATGGGGGGAGGGGGGATGCAGGCCGTATGGAGCCCCGGCCTGAGTCGGGCGGTGGGGGTTATTGTTTGTTTTATTTTGATTGTGGCGACCAATAAAGAGGTCTACCCACCACCCCTGACTTCCTCGTCCTCCTTTCCGACTCACGAACTGTATTACACTCATTAACTAATTTCACTAGATGTCCAGTTTTGTTGTTCAGTAATCTCCATCATGTCCATCCTTTTATAATAGAATGTGTACCCCATGGTTAAAAAATACCTATACGCCTATAATAAAATACCAATATAAAATTATAAAAAGTATATATCATCTTTCTAAATCATTCCCAAACATAAGATTGTTGTTTAGGCCATACATACCACGTAATATTAGAATAAGCACCTCTTAGTTTCAAAATACTTACAGTATAAATTATTTGTAATTTTACAGGTTATTTACCCCTTTATTCCACAAACTTCGCATATTATTCCCTTATACATACACGGAGGTACTGAATAGGTACACTATAATTACAAAAAAGTTACACTGTAACTTCAGTTTACTTACGCAGTTCTTTGCAGGTTGCATATCTGGTTGTTACCCCCTTATTACCCAAACGTAACACATTGTTCCCTTATACCTACACGCATGTTCTTTATAGGTACACTATAATTACAGAAACGTACACCGTAAATTCAGTATACTTACATAGTTCTTTGCGGGTTCTAATCTAAAGCGTTACCCTAAAAAGGTATCTTGATACCCTGTAAAAAACTGTAAAATTCCGCATTTTACTAGTAACGGTACTTTAAAAATGCATTTTATTAAGAACTGTATTTCCTGAGTTGTGTCGAAGTGTGACAGCAGGACAGTGTGTGTTCAGCACTCTGCTCCACTCCCTGCATGCACAGTAGTCGTGCCAAACTTTATATATCCATGCAGCGCAGGACTGCTTAAACTTACTGACAGTTTAAATAAGGATAAGAAACATGCATGAATTAGAAAGACGTGCTTGATGTTAAAAGTAGTTATTAAGTGCATTAAACCTTAAAAAGAACTCATGCAATACTCACGCACTATCACACACCCGACGCGCGCATGATATAAATTGTTATCTTGAAATAATATTTCTCATATCGTGAAATAAAATGTTGGTAATATTTCCCACCCCTAGCTCATGCCCTTAAATATAAGTCAAAAGAGTGTTTATTTTGTTACACATTAACTTTTTCCCTTTTTCCCAGTTTGATGGGGCAAATGAGGTCAATAATAACCGTCTAAGTTTGCTTTATCCTTTTAGCTAGCTTACCAATGTTGCAAAGATACATACTTGTAGGTTTGGTAGTTGCTCACTATAGTCCTGTGTAGTGGTACTGCCATGTGATTTTTATTATTTATTTTTTTTAAAGGGGGATGAAATGCTCAAAAAGCAGAGCAGGCACACACTGGTCAAGTGAAAGATTTCAATTTTTAAAATAACTATAAGCTCCATTTGAATCATCTATTATTCAATTACTTTTCCTGTTGTTTTATGTTTTTTTTGTCGTAGTAGTGGTTCAGTAGTAGTATCGAGATATTTTAGTCAGGTATCGTATCAAAGTCAAAATTTTGGCATCATGACAATACTAAGAGCTACTACCACAGGATAATGTGAAAGGTTTGGATCATGCTTTACAAACGGTCATCTTTTGGGGTGCAAAGAGATAGGATTTAATTTGACATGGGTGCATTTTCATTCTGTCTGTCAATGGTATGTTTACCTGGGCCATGTCCAGATAGAGCAGAACATCTCCATCTATATCAGCTCCCATCATGGCAGCTTCTGTCAGTACCTTCACAGTGTACAGCTCTAGGACAGAAACACAACACTCATAAAAACAACAGAATATGTCACAATTATGTGTTGGTTTGCATTCTTTGTTGATAAATGACTTGTTAACATTTTACAATAAGGTTCCATTTGTTAACATTAGAGAAAGACCCCATGTGGTGAAAATCAAGTATTTGATGTTGTTTACATGTCTGTCTGGTGTTTTAATGTTTAAGCCATGTCCAAATTCATCAGTCAACACCATTGAGAAAAGCCTGTGGTCAACATAACTTGAAAAAATGTGACGTTTTGTCCTACAACATAAATTGCACACACTGATATCCAAAACCGTCTTATCAAGTTTTCAAAAATAAACAAATTGCTTTCAAATTCACGTTTTCGGTATGGGTGTGTGCAGTTTACGCTGTAGAACAAAACGTCAAAGTATCATCAAGTTATGTTTACCAAAGGCTTTATTTTACTCATAAATTGGGAAGAAAAATTATTTTTTGGGGGGGTTTTAACTGTCTCAGATGGGGAACAGGAACATGGTTTGTGTAACATTAGCAACACATTATTAGCTGTTTGATAATGGGGTCAAGACAAAGGCTAATGATATCCAATTACTGTTACATGTTCAACATTAGAGAGTCATACATAAAATGCAGTCAGTTTCTGGTTTAAACATAAACGGCTGAATTAATCCAGTATTGCCACTTGCCATTGTGTAGCTTTTACATTTACATGTGATTTGAGTGGGGCCGGGGACTAATTTGCATATTCAATAGGTTTGCATATACTGAGGTAAAGGGTGTAGAGTTATAGTCAAGTCATTTAAGGCATGAACATTATTTTCACAGGAAAAAAGTTTTAAATACTGTATGCTATACTGATTATCAAAGATGAGTTTTAAGGGATTAAATAGGTGTCTACAGCCGTTCCATTATTAAATAACATTAATAAAGATTAATAGCTAAATCATTGTTAGTTAAATTTTTCTTAATGCTTGTTAACTAATGGGTCCTTATTACAAAATGTTAGCAATAACTCTTATGTATCATATTATTCATTTGTTCAAATGTTTATATTAAATATTTGGCAGGCACTTTTTATCACTTTTAAAATATTATTATTTTTTTAATTTATGCATTTCCTGGGATCTGAACCCAAGACCTTGCCGTTGTTAGTGTCACGCTGTGCTGTTTGTGCTACAAAGTAAGATTATCATATTATGCAGTTTGTTCAATAAAGTAAACCCTTGAACATATTTTTCATAATGATCTCTTGATCTTCAGCAGAGCAGTGAATCATGCTCTGGATTGCCAGTGTTGCCATGTCCACTTATTATAAGCGGCTTTGAACGAGATCTGTTAAAATGCATGAACTTAATAAATGTGTACCTTTAATGCAATGTATGTCACTTTTTGAAAGACATCTGAAATTGTCTGGCAAATGTAGATGCATATATGTTACAGATAGGCCATAGAGAAAAGCCAGTCAATGTCCGAATTGGCTTCACATCATGCCTAAAAACGCTATATTTTAGTACAAATGGACATAGTGTTATTTTCAGTCACTGTCTCACTCCTCAACACTGGATTTGGTTGCCTGCGGAGATCAGACTGTTATGTGCATTATAGTCTCAGCAATAACAGTGTGCAGGTATGTTTGTGTACCTGTAAGCGCTACCAGATGAGGAAGACAGAGACGGTTTGCAAGTACAATGAGTTCCATGGCATCCAGATCTGGGTGAGAGCAGAAGCAGCCAGTATAGAGATATTCCAGCACAGCACGCATGCAGCTCCGTGTAGTGTTTGGAAACAGCACCTGACAAAACATGGCAACAATCTTAAAACTGCTTTTTTGAGGGGAATAAAAGCTCAGTTTTACAGTACCATGCAAGAACAGTATGATTCAAATCTGCTGTGTTCATTAGTAAAGTCCAACTTTGAGCATTCTGTAGATAATTTGTCAACATTTTTAATTACAATGGGGTCCAAAATTATTGCATAAGCTCTCCATCTTTTCAATGACTAAGTATCAAGCTGCATGGAATTGACAAGTTTGTATAAAACCTTATGTTTACATTCTTCAACATAATCCAAAGTGCACCTTAAGCTTCAATTGAAGCAAAATCATCTGACTATCAAATCAATGACACAAAACTACATACAGTATTTGATTAGTGCCCTAGAAATTGTGCAAAATCTAAAGATATATTTATTTCACCTTATTATTTTCCTTTGTTTATTTATTTATTTTGTAATCCTAAAGGATAAGGTTACAGTTTATTTACAGGTTCAAATCTCAATTTTTAAATCTTACATTTTTAATGTGGTCTCAGACATTTGAGCCCCATATTTTTATTTTTTTGTTTCTTTATTTAACAGGGGCAATACACTAGGCATTGTTACACACAGGCAACCGATGCTGTGTACATAGGGCATATAGCATAAAGTTACTTTGCAATCCCCATCCGTGGTTAGGCTTTTACCTAAAATCAAAACATTAAAATAAAAAACAGACACAATCATCAAAAGAAACAACACAAGTACAAGTACACGTGCAAATACAGATAACTATGTGAGTATATGTTGTACCTAAACAATCAAACAATGGCATATTGACATACCTAAGCACAAAAATAACTTTATACAAAGTCGCAAACATAAAATGTAAATTATCCTGCGTACAGAATGAAAATGTAAACTTAACCAGCCTAAATAAGCCTAAGGTACTTAATGCTCACATCGCTGTAAATATTTCAGCCATTGTTTCAGCTTTGTAGAGAAAACTGTGAGTTCTGATTGCAACTATAAATCTACAGGCATGCTGTTCCATAGATGTGAACCTTTCTCTGAAAAGGATGATTGACCCACAGTAGTTCTGCATCTCCAAACTCTACAATTCCTACTTACTGCCCCTCTGGTCTTTGCCCCATCACTAATGTATTTTTGTATCAACTGACAGATTACATCAGGGTCAAGGCCATATATGCACTTAAATCCTGTTTTTAAAAATGAAAACTTAAAAAAAATTATCAAAACTTAACAGATAATACTTTTGAAGGATTTGACAATGATTTCATTGGTTTCTGATCCATTACTTTTAAAGTTTGTTTGTATAATGACATTACAGGCTTAACAACTGATTGTTATTATCGCACAATAGGTCATATGTGAAAATATCATAGTGTACGTAAACATTTGAGCTGCTTTAAGAGATATAGCCTACATGGTCTTATCAAATAAAAACGGTTCAAATTTGTCTTAATAGTATTGGAGATGTGCTTAATATGTGCATCAAACTTAAGCATAGAGTCTACAATGACACCTAAATATTTAAATTCACTCACTTCCTTGATTTCCTTTTGGTCAGTTTTGATTTTAAATACATCCAGCACTTTGTTCTTTAGTGAAAAACACATTGAAACCATTTTGTTATTTAAAGTTTAACAGTTATCCTGCAGCCACTGGAAAACACTGACCAGTTGCCTGGTTAACAATTCTGCAGCCAGATGATACGTTTCTGCTGTTACATAAATAATTGTGTCATCTGCATACATTTGACAACTAACCTTCTTTCAGGTAAATCATTTAGCCTATATATAAACAAAAAAGCAAAGGACCCAATATTGAACCTTGTGGTACACCTATTTTACATTTTTGAAGTGATGACTTCACACCACAAATTTTAACAGATTGCTGTCTACAACCCAGGTATGATATGAACCAGTTTAGAGCTTGTTGAGAAAAGTTCATTTGTTTCAATTTATTTATGAGTACTTCATGATTCACAGTATCAAAAGTATTTTAAAGACTAAAAATACTGCTCCCACTACTTTTCCTTGATCCAAACTACTTTTTATGCGATCTATAAAATGACAAATAGCCATTTCTATTGAATACTTTGGCTGAAATCTAACAATTGCTTAGAGTTTAAAATATCCCCCCCAAGTAATGAATTCATTGTTCAGCCATTAACTTTTCTAAAACTGGAAATTACTGGGATAATTGAGATGGGTCTATAATTACACACCTCATCAGTCTCTCAAGACTTAAAAACTGGGGTCACCATAGCTGTTTTAAAATTGTGTGGAAACTCACCAGTTTTAATAGATACATTTACCAAATGAGCTATTGGCTTTACCAGTGTTGCACTATATTTTTTAATAAGAAAAGCATCTAAACCAAATATATATTTAGCTTTTGAACTGTTTAATGGATTAATAATTTAACAGATTTTATCTTGATCAACCTGTAAAGTATAAAAATGTCTTACTACATCATGTGATAAACAAACAGAATTTAAATTTGCTGCAAGTTCTTCTACTGATTTAATAAAAAAGGTTTTAAATGAATTTGCAATTTCCAAAGCACCAGTACTGACCTTTCCATTTATATTCAGTTTTGTTATGTCCTTACTTTGACTGAAGTTCTGATTGGTTAATTCATTCAAATGTTTCCAAATAAACGAGTTATTGCCCTGTGAGTCAGCAAACAACTGCATGAAATACGATGACTTTGCTTTTCTCAGTTCACTAACCACTTTATTCCTTAAACCTTTAAAGATCAATATATATGTTTGTAGTTATGTAGATATAGATTTTTTCAGTGCCAGATCCCTCTTTTTCATTAGCTGAAGAATATCATTATTTATCCATCATTATTTACTTTTAAAGGAACATATAAACCTTTGGACCGTATTTGCAAGTGTGTCCATCAACAAATCACAGCACTCATTCAGATTATCAATTTGATATATACTCTCCCAATTTATGTATTCAACTTATTTTCAAACTGAGATATTTACTGCTTGGAAATTCCAATTTGTGAATTATTAGCTCTGGTTCCAAAAAAAATTAAATAAAAAAAAAAGCTCTGAAATAATTGTTTTGTTAATTCTATGACAATCAATATGAAATTATGATCAGACAAACCTGTTAACAAATTATACATTTGGTAACACTTTATTTCGATAGTCCACTTTAGACATTCTATTAACAGTAAGTAACTTTGCTACTACATGTCAACTAGCAGTTAGTAGAGTATTAGTAAACTGTCTGCTTAATATCTTCTAACACTTTCTTTGTCAACTTATTCTGCCAGCCTAAACCTACCCTAACAGTCTACTCTGAGAGTTAGTAGACATGTAGTTGCAAATGAATGAGAATGATTTGACATGTAGTTGACATGTAGTTACAAAGTTACTTATAGTTAGTAGAATGTCTAAAGTGGACTATCGAAATAAAGTGTAACCATACATTTTAGTAATTCGCTCTGGTTTATTTGTAATAATGTAAACTATCAATGTTTTACTAGTTCGGGTGATTCTTGTAGCACTTGTTATCATTTGATGCAATATTTATTCAGATGCTAGAAATACTAATTTGTACTAACTTGTATTGATTATATGTTGGGAATATTAATTTGCATTGATTTTTCATAATTGGTAAGCTTATTTATTATTTTGGATTACTAGATATAGCATTAGAAATGAAGGGTTGAAACTAGATAAATCCAGATGTTAAGAGGAATATTCTGTTTGTCTCTTGATATTTCATTCTAAGAAAAAAAGTCAATAGACTGTTCAACAGTCTATTGTGTGTTATTTTAGTATCACTGAGATACTATTATAGTTTTTCATATTTTGTATTTGTCTTATTTTTAATTTTGGTTAGTTTTTATTAATTTTGTTGTGTGTTTTTGTTATTTTTTCTAAATAGTTTTTATTAAGTTTTATTTCAGTTTTAGTTTTAGTTATTTTAGTATAATTTTTTTATCAAGATAAACTAAATGAAAATGAGAAATGTTACCTTTTCATCAAGCTCAAATAAAACAAATTTAAGGGTTTTATTCTATTTATTTATTTATTTTATTTCAGGTTTCTTATTGCTTTAGTTTTAGTTAACTATAATAACCCCGATTCAACATCGCTTAAATGTCCCATCAACACTACTTGCTTCAGATAGTACAAAATTAAATCACCTCTTCCTTTTTTTGTCTCTGCATATTCTTTCCAATTTCAATATAACAGTGTTACCATTAAAATATTCACCACAAATGTCATCTTTAAAAGCTCAGTGTTCCCAGTGCTATTGGTTTAGTCTTAATGTGAGTGCACTGTACCTCTTTTGTACAACTCTCCACAAATGGTCCACCAAACATGGCTGCCATCCAATCACAGCTTGAGATGAGCAGTGGTTTATGGGCCATAATGGTCCCATCATCCAATCTGAACACCACATCTGCAGCAAAGAACAGACAATCTTCTGTAGCTTTTCAAATCACTATTATAATGATATATCACATCTATCTCATATAAACATTCTCCACTCTCTGGTAAATCAGCATACATAGCGATTCCGATGCTGAAATGAAGTGAACACTTACCGTTGACAATATTTACTATAATATTTTACTGAAGTTAACTAAAACCATCCCTTGTTACAGTAGATCTGAAACTGACACAAGGGGAACTACCACTATTGTTATGTGGACATGGCCCAATCTTAAATTCAGACAATATTGGACAATATCATCTTGACAATTTAAAAGGCACTTTGTGACATACTCAATATTACATTCCTCAATCATAGTACAGCTCAATACAGTGCTAGAGTGAAGGATAAATAAATAGAAATGCTCAGTTTATGTTTGGAGAGGGAAAAGCTCGGTCAGCATTTCAAGACAGCTTGATGTCCTCCAAACCCTAAGAGTGCTGAAAAACACAATACATCCGCACCGGTTCTCACTACCAGAAGAGCACTTATTATGAAACCGAAATCCAGCTGACAAAATATGCAGGCTTGTTTTTTTCTCTCTGGGGGCGAATAATTGAGCTGAGAGCTGAAGTAGAGGGGAAAATAGCTTGAAGGGACATTCTGCTTAAGCGCATCTCACATTTGAGAAAAAAAATTGCTTTGATTATAAATAATGCTGGGCGACCTTCTGCTAGGAGTTACACTGTACACCCAGCATGTGCAAATACCAAAAACGCAGAAGTTTGTTTTTCGATATACAGCTGACAGTATTATTCTACACAACACAGAAAGGTTGGGGTGAAAAATAGGGACATTTACAGGAAAAAGGGTGAAAGGACAGCTAAATTAGTCCCATCAGTTGTCTGAATGCTAGGCACAGTTAGTGTAACTGACAGAAATACAACAAATAAATAAGATAATGTAACACCACCAGTTCTATTCGTACATCTCAGGAATGGGAGGTAGGCATGCTAACAAGGACGCTAAAGACTTAAGCTCCTAGCATCAGTCACTAGTGCGCGTGGATTGTGGAGTGGAGTGAGGTTTATTCACACAGCTCTTACTAGCTGGCCTCCATTACATTCACCCCCCCCCCAAACCTCCCTCCCATCCGGGTCACGGCACCAATATAGCCCTTCCAGTTCTACTCACACCACTCCAAGTGGGATTCGAACAGGCGTCTGCATGGGAGGCAGTTCGGTAACAAGGATGTCAAAACTGTCCTCCATTATACTAACAGTAATAACATAATGCACAATGCTAATCAATGCTAATCACAGTTCTCACAAACAAACAGAGACCTACAGATTTTTAAGACTGGGTGATATATTGAATATTCATTATATATCTGTGATCATTTTGCTGCATCTTGAATATTGCAAAATTTTAATGCGCCATTAGATTTCCTAAAGTTTTTATTTCCTAAAGTGTTTTATTCTTTTTTTTTCGCAAATCACTTCAAACTGTCCTTTTCAATGACTTAATTCAAAACCCTGATTCAGCAATTTGTTTGTATTACTCAATATCACCCAAAAATGTTTGTGAGAGCTCTGTGTGGCATTGCTTAAATTTTTTACTCCTATTTTTCATATACAGAAGGTTTTATAGAAGATATGTCATTTTTCCGCATATAAATTAAAATTATTAAATATTTTTTTTATATCATTGAAAGAACACTGTCTAGAAAAACAGTGTGAAAGCATTCCATCTAACTAGATTTTTAATGTATTTGACTTATTTAATGTAACTTTTTGAATGACAACATTTCATTTTGGTATTCTGAATAGTTGTTTGGTTGAAATAATGGCCTCTAAACTTTTCACCAATTTCAGAGCAATTCCATTTTTCAACAGTGACATTTACTCTTAAAGACAGTTCATTTAATGTAAAAGCAGTCATGGCAAACTAGATAAAAGCCCTAGTCCACCTCATTTACCAACTAATTGCTTTTTGGTTGACTTGACTATCATCCTGGCCCATCCCTAAAGTACCAAGCAAACATACAGTTCACATGCCTCTCACCAGAGAAGGTCCCTTTTGCCAGACATTCTTTCACTCGATTGGTGCGTCTCACGTGAAAGGCCTTGGAGATCTCCTGATTCATGAAGGCCTCATCGTTCAGGATGTTAGCCACCATCATACGGAGGTCAAACACTTCCAGCAGCTCTGCGATGTGGGCAACCTGCATTAGCTCCTTCTCCCGCTCGTCTAGTTTCCCTGTATACAGGTACCGCAACACAGATCGGAACGGACCGGGCTGCATTGAAGGGTCCATGTGCACAACAGTCATTTTTCTAAGGTTGATGGTGATGGGGTCATCCACCATTTCTTCTTGGATGCTAATAAAAGCACGACTCAAGGCAGGGAGCAGATGACCACGACGATCTCCGTCACCTTTTAGAGTTCCATCACTGGTACAGGCACGCAAGTTTGCTCTATCTTTGTCACCGTTACTTTCACAAACGTCAAAACTAGCTGCGCGCATCAGCAAATCACGGCCAGAAAGCGGTGGCCCTCGGGGTCGTTCACATTCCCGTTCGGTCTCCTCAGGGCCCCGAGGTTCAGTCAAGAAGAGGTCGTAGAACTTGGAGGAAGATGTGGCAAGGTAGATGCGGTGAGCGAAGATCCTCTGCCGTTCCTGAAGGACTAAGATGACGTCGGCACAGAGCGGGTCCTCCAACAGGCGGCTAGGGTGCTCTTCTATGTTAGTGGGAGGGGCGGGAACGGTAATAATGGGTGGAGGGGGCTTAGGGGGAAGGAAGGGGGCTTGGAGAAGTGGCCTTTGAACGTTTCGTAAATGAGACTTCCAGAACTGCAGATGACGACGGGAAATGAGGGCTGCACGGATAGCATTGTCGAAAACATCCTTAACCCCGAACTGAGCAACTATGCTGGTCTCATAATAAGGGACGCCTAGTTCTTTAGCCACCTCACGGCCTTTCTCTGGCGCCAATATCTCATTGGATTTAATGGGCCTGAAACAAAAAAAAAACAGCAAGATACTAAAGAATTAGCTTACCCAAAAATGACCATTCAGTCATCATTTACTCACCCTCATGTTGTTACAAACCTGCATGATTTCCTTTCTTTTGTGGAAAACCAAAAGACTTACTCTTTACTATATAAGGAAAGTGAATGGGCAAAGACCAGGGGTGTCCATTCCTGCTCCTGGAAAGCCAACGTCTTGCAGAGTTTAGCTCCAACCAGCTTCAACAAACCTGTCTGGAAGTTTCGAATTACTGCGTCCAAAAGCTGAAAAATGCAGCCTGCACATTCTGTGGTAGAAATGCAACAAGGCACATCCAAATCCTACGATCTGTCATATCCTGTCTACTGAGTTACCTTTATCTCATTGATTTCTGAAGGCAGCAAAAAATGTATCATTTAGGGATGGGCATTTTTCTAAAATATTGTATTTAAGTATTTGGGCTCATAAAAAAAAATAATATTAATTTATTTAAATTGTGTTTAATGAGAAAGACAATTTTTTAATAATCAAGTGTTTGTCACCATTTCTGAACAAACTTATGATTAGGCATTGTACATAAAAATGTTCTACAACAACGTTACGTTATATCTCAAGGTTTTCTTTTAGTTGAAAACGTGTGTAAACATATATATATATATATATATATACACGCACACCAAAAAAAATAAGCATTCAAGCTCAAGCACCATCCCTTGTTACAGTAGATCTGAAACTGACACAAGGGGAACTACCACTATTGTTATGTGGACATGGCCCAATCTTAAATTCAGACAATATTGGACAATATCATCTTGACAATTTAAAAGGCACTTTGTGACATACTCAATATTACATTCCTCAATCATAGTACAGCTCAATACAGTGCTAGAGTGAAGGATAAATAAATAGAAATGCTCAGTTTATGTTTGGAGAGGGAAAAGCTCGGTCAGCATTTCAAGACAGCTTGATGTCCTCCAAACCCTAAGAGTGCTGAAAAAATAAGCATTCAAGCTCAAGCAAAGCAAACAAAAAATAAAGCAGAAAGTGCCAATTACAGTACAGAACGTACATAAACTCGATACGGCATATGTTATACTGTTTCACATGTTAATGTTGAGAAAAACAATAACATCCACATGCTCGGGTGAAAGTTGGCTCCTCAGTCTGATAACAATAAGAACGCGTGCAGACAGACGTTCTAGAGACACAAAGATAACGGTGTGCTAAGCAAAGTACAAATACAGGACCTTGTGTTTTCTGTTCTTAAACTCTCCCTCAAGGAAATTTAAAGGAATCATATGTCTCAAGATCATTTGGCTATCATATAAGTTCTCTCCTCGGCTCACTCGTGAATACAGTGATGGACAGCTGTCTTTCCTCAGTCGACTAGTGTTTGTGTGATTTCTCATTATGGTGGTGACATTATGATAACTCAGTTTCACTGATTCATTTGATCAAAAGTAATTCCAAACTTTGCGAGGCAGACAACAACATTCTGTGATCAAATACAATCAACTTGTTAACACGCTCCACAGCGCCACCCAGTGCATTTAGTTATAACTGACTTTTAGTTTGCGTGCTTAGGATTTATCATGGATTCCCTGCATTTACGTCCAGCAAAGCGAAACATAGTAAAATTCGATTAGTGTTTTTATTTTTCGAATAATAATTACATATTCGAATATTCGACTAGTTGTGCACACCCCTAGTAATTCAATATCGCCAGGGTCGATATTGTCCCCATCACTTTTTTTAAAACATCTTGAGGCATGTATGTACCTAATGCAGATGAAACATATCCAGCTGTCATTCGTTTCTGTTAAATACGATGCAATCTGGTGCTTGAATCTGTTGTTTTTGAAATCATGCTGAATGTTCGTTGCCGATGTTATTGGTGTTCTTTTGTGGCTCATGCACAGACTTCACACACAATCTATCGCTTAATGATGTTGCTGAGACTATCTATTCATTCCGGTTAAATCACAAAACAAAAGAGCAGAGCACAAACGTGTCCCTGCTCTTGATATACAATCGCTTGCTTAGCTGGTTCAGTTGTGTTTAATTAGGACTGGAGCTAAGCTCTGCAGAACAGTGGCCCGTCATGCAGGAGCAGGATTGGACACCCCTGGCATAGGTGTTGGCGAGCTTCAAATATTACAAGATAGCACTGTTAAAATAGCAAAAAAATAATTCCTTATATCTCATGCACCACATAAATAAGTTATATAATAGCAGTTTCATGAGGAACAGACTAATTTTAGTCAACTTTCATAAACATCCGTTTGGTCATTAACTTTTAAAAGCATCATTATGCAAAAAGAGTTCTCTGCTTGAACTTTCTATCCAATACAGTAGGAAGTTAAATGAAATAAAATATGGAGGATGTTAACTGTGAAAAGATGATTAACAGGCCAGGTTACAGTGACAGTGAGTGTGTAACTATGCGACAGAGTAGTCCGTTAAATACGCAATTGTATGAGATAGTATGTCCCAAAACTTGCCTACTCTTCTACTACACACTCAAAAGTGTGTACTTTTTCTTCACCAAAAGAGTACATACTTTAAAGGCGTAGGCAAATTGGGATGCAGCATTAAACTAGTGTGAAGAGAGGTAATCCAAGTTCACCTGCCATACGCAAATCTGCGGTCCTTGTGATGGTCACCAAAAGTGTCCCAGAGACGCAAGGACACGCTGACATCATCCACCACATCTCTGGACCTTTCTAGAACCTGGCCGGAGAGACAAACCTATCACATGCATGGAGATTTACCCAAGAAACCGCATACAACACATTTTTTAACATTTGATCAGATTATTAATCAGGGAAATTATAGAAAGTGGCATCCATCATGTGTTTCATATACTTTTTTTATGAATAAGAATATGACAGTAGGCTTTCCTCACCTCCTGGCAGACTCTGTACTGATCTATTGCCCAAACAGTGGGCACATGTGTGGCAAGTAGCTGGTACTGTGTTAGCGTTGCATTACAGGCCCGGGCACAGATAAGCCGGGTCTTTCCAACTGCATTGTCTCCAACCACCACACACTTGATAGTCTCCACATTTGGCCTCTCATAATCCATGTCAGAATCCATAAAATGATGCCTTATATACACACACACACACACATACACAAATAATAAATATAATATATAAAAATATTTATAGCTAATTAATATATTTAAAATAACTTTTAAATATTGAGAAAAATATATAAATAAGGAAAAAACATTTCTTGCCAAGAAACTACTACAGATGCACAAAGATATACAGTAGATGTGAATTTTGGTTGATTATTTTATGGATACAATGACCTTTCTATAATTATTATATTTGGACATTTTTGTAATTTAAAAATGTAAAAAAAAAATTTAAATGTCATGTGTTAATTCTTATGTTTAAGAATTAAATTTCATAACATTTAAATAATAAAAAAATGTAAGTATTTAAAAAGAAAATGATATGTGTACACTCATGTGTGTTGCAGGTGCAAAGGTAATATGTTTTATTACTTTTTACTTGATAAACCACATTAATTATTAGAGTCATTCAATTTATATATTTATTGAAAATGGCATTTTTCCCTGAAATAAACCAAAGCAGGAATACAAAAATTACATTTCTAAGAACCTGGCACATAAAAAAATTCCAATCTAACAAGCAAATTCTCAGTTATTCTCACTTCTTGACTTCCTCTATTTACCCCACTAAAAGTGATCTCTATAATTGTGGAGATTCAAACCGACCTGATTTAGCATGTTGAGCAATCAGAATGGCAACATATGAAATCAATAAGGAACTACAGCCCTACTGTCTCTGTATTGATGCCAGTGGCAACTAACGAGGCTTCAGAGCATTTTAAAGTTAGCTGCCTGTGTGTTTGAGTGCACTGAAAGCTCTTGGTAAGGTACACTGGTCCCTTGAGTGGGCTTCGTTTCAGTTGTGTACTAAATTTTTTACTTCTGTGCAAATGAATTAAAGGGGTCATATGATGCGATTTCAAGTTTTCCTTTCTCTTTGGAGTGTTACAAGCTCTTGCTGCATAAAGAAGATCTGTAAAGTTGCAAAGACTAAAGTCTCAAATCCAAAGAGAAATTCTTTATAAAAGTTAAGAGTCACACATATCTACGTCACTATGTGGAAATATTAGCATAATGCCACCCAAATGTGCATGTAAAGAAAGAAGGCGTGGTTTCAGGAACAGCAGTAATGTTGATGCACAACAGAACAGCACAACCCAGATGTTCGAATTTGTGCAACACATTTTATGGACGACAGTTTTTTTAACCTAGAAGAGTACAAGGTTGGCTGTGCACAAAGGCTATTTCTAAAAAAAAAAAAAAAAAGGGCACCAAATACACAAAATAATGATCTTTAAAATAGCATCATATGACCCCTTTAAAGACTTGCAGCAACACAATAGGCACACAGTAGGTGTTTCAAAAAACAGTAACCTTGTAATTTACTTTATGTTGCTAAGTATGTAACCTTAAAAGTAAAAAAGCATCATTCACATTCAATAGGCCTACATTGAAAAGAGTGCACAGAATATTCTTAAAAAAAATAACGTTTTGTCTTTCACAGAAAAAATAAGTTATAGTTTGGAATAATATAGGGTTAGTAAATGATACCAGAAGTTTCAGTTTTAGGTAAACTATAAGTGAGTGATAGGATTTTTAATTAAGCTCAAAGCTGTTACCAGCATCACCATCACAGAGGTTTTAAAAAGCTGATGGGGTTACTAGCTGGGTGATCACAAAAACAGAGGAACAGATGCTAATGATACAGTGCAGCTGGGATGAGATGTTGCCATTGTTGTTTTTGTCCCCCTAAATTCATCCTGTAAGAGATGTGTACCATTAAAATAGGGTGCATCCCAATATGTGTATACTTATGCACCATTCTGTGCAGTTTTTAATATAAAGAGTATTAGTAGTGTGTTCAAACTGAAAATTAAAAAAAGAAAAGTACAAAAGTTTTAAGTGTTTGTTCATGTTTTTGTTGCTGTTACGTGCCGTAGCGGTATCTGACTGGGGGCGAGACGTGGGCTAATGACGTCATCGTTTCAGAAAATATACGGATTCGCTTTCCACACGAAAACGCAAGGGTGGCATTTTCAGATTTATCCACTCTGGGACCCAGTAAAAAAGAAAAGTACAAAAGTTTTAAGTGTTTGTTCATGTTTTTGTTGCTGTTACGTGCCGTAGCGGTATCTGACTGGGGGCGAGACGTGGGCTAATGACGTCATCGTTTCAGAAAATATACGGATTCACTTTCCACACGAAAACGCAAGGGTGGCATTTTCAGATTTATCCACTCTGGGACCCAGTTTCACTCTCCCAAAATGCCGGATCCGTGTGGACGAAACGCCTATAGGCCTATGATACAAAATGTATGCGTTTACTGCTAAACGTGTCTCCGTGTGGACGGGGCATGAGTTTGACACCCCTGCTCTAAACCAATCAATAATTATTATTATTATTATTATTTATAAAATATATAACATAAAAAGTCTTCATACTAAATTGTATCATATTTTAAATGATTAAAAAATTATTGCTGACAAATAGGTAAAACCTATTGGTTGGAAGGATAGTGGCAAAGATTGGCAAAGATTTAAAATGACAATGAATTAGTTTCACTGTGATCCTTAAATAGAGTCTTTCAATGTAATCTAATGATTCTTGTTCAAAATATGCCCGACTAGATATTTTCGTATATGAAGTATTGTTCAACTGAATGACATGGGCCTATAATAATACGAATAGGACAGGTTCTAAGGGCATAATATAATACATGGAGAAAAAATATAAGGCTGCATTAAACTTTTATTGTTTTAATTCTTGAAAGCCCCACACATTATCAGATAATGGTCACATAAACATAGCTATATGGCATATAATCAATATATAATCAGTATGGATGCATTAGTCCATCACTCAGGGTTATTAAGAAGACAGTTAATCATCCCATCAATCAGTGTTAACTGATAAAGTTATCAAGTTACAATGATGCACGCTCACGTGACTGAAATATTGATTCAATCAATTGATTCAATTCGCTTTAATGCCTTCTCTAAATACACTATCGCAATCACTGTACATAATAGTGCTGGCACAAGGATTCTAAGCTGTTATGTCGCTCGCAAATAGATAGACTGCATTAAGAAGTATTCAGATAAATATAAATAATATGAAGTTATATAACAGATACTGGTGTATTATTACCTCGTGTCTTGAAAATGGAGGTGGCTGCTATAGCGGCACAGTCTTTGGTTTCCAAGGAAACAAAATCTACTCCTCCTCTACTACTGTACCATGAGCCCCTGTTATTAATGCAGAGTTATTCCAATAATCAAAACGTAAATGCGTAAAAGCGTAACATGAAGGAGCATCTTCTTAAACTCTGTCCGATGACCGATGAAAACTGTCCTTCTCACTCAAAGTGCATCTGAATCATTACGCCTTTCAAGGGATATATTATAAAGTAGCTACCACAGTGTTACCTAATGATTTATGATAGGCCTATTTGCTAGTAAAGATAGTAAAGTTAAACTTCCAAATGGTGGTCACTTGAACAATTGTATTTATTTATTTATTTGCGTTTCATTCATATTTATGTACACATTTTATTTTATTATGTATTATTGTTAGGCTATAATTATTAGATATTATTAAAATACTTAAAAAATAATACAATTAAATGAAATACATAGCCTAAATACATCAAATGAAATATTTAAATATACAAAAATACTGTAATATAAAAAAAATAAAATGAAATATTAAAATGTACTAAAATAAAGTAATATTATTTATTTTTACCAATTAAAATGTATTTTACATATGCTAATTCAGTTTATTTATAAAAGCAGGTTAGCCTATGTGTATGTGTGATGGACAAATTAACTAAAACACTGACACAAATTGCATAATTTGTTTTTGGACGCTCGAATGATATACGAATGATCTTGTCTATCAGTAGTAGCTTATATATCTGCCATGCAAAACGACATTTATTTCTGATAACTCTCACGAGAAAGAAACATTTGAAAGCAGCATCGATTGGATTTTCTGAATGAAATAAAGCGTGTTCGTTCACCGCCTCTGCCTGCCTTATTTCAGGCTATTATGTAACCGCTGATGTCTCCTTGAGAAATGACACGTTAAGTGTAGTCTTAATAAATAGCAGCGACTTAATGTCCTCATAAAGCAGTAAGTAAATAGAGTGAGACACACACAGGCTGCGGCTGCTCTTACCGCATCACAGGGAAGTGCTGCATCGGCTCGGCCGATATGGGGAAGCGACAGAAGAAATGCATCGGATGTGGCTGGAGACTGAGGAAAGCTGGAGCTCAACTTCATTTTCGAATCGGGAATACACAGCTTGGAATCGCTGCCGCCAATCAAACCGCTTACGAGTGAAACTGATCTTTGTTTCTCAAACGCCATCGGATGAATCGTTGAATTTCGGCTGTGGCTGTCAGGCAGCGGGGCCGGACAGACTGCTCTTAATGTTTCCTCAGTTACCGTACGCACTGTACAACACAGGCACAGCAACACCGCACTGGCCATTCACTGCACACATACAGACACAGCAGCACTTCTCATTCACTGTCTAACACAAACACACAGACTCCTTCTTCACTTCCTTTACCAAGGGCTAAACTCAATCTCTCTTTAACAATGTGACCCCTGGATAATGAGGTAATGTTTGTGTTTCCTACGATTTTTAAGCCTAAATCTAAGGCCTAATCTAGGTTTAAAATTAAGCACTACCTGATTAAACAATCCAGATTTGATGCATGTGAAGAATTTAAGCACAAAATATGACACTATAGCCTATAATAAAATATTGTTATAACCAAAATATGACACAATAGCCAATAAAATATAGCTATAACCAAAATATGACACAATAGCCAATAAAATATAGCTATAACCAAAATATGACACAATAGCCAATAAAATATAGCTATAACCAAAATATGACACAATAGCCAATAAAATATAGCTATAACCAAAATATGACACAATAGCCAATAAAATATAGCTATAACCAAAATATGACACAATAGCCTACAATAGAATATAGCTATAACCAAAATACCACATAACCAAATAACAATGTGTACAAATCTCAGCTGCCAGGACCTGAACTGGGACCCTTTGTAATTCTCTTTCTTCTGACTTATGCCAAGTTCACACTGCACGATTTTAGCCCGATTTTTCACTCGCCGACAGGTTTTGCGAAATCGCCGACAAATGCCCGAAATCGGAGGCAAATCGGTGCTCGTTGACACGAGTGACAATCACGCAGTGTGAATTATCAAAGATGCGATCTGAGGGAATCGCCGACGCCCGTGAAATATTTGGCATGCTAAATATCTGGAGCTGTCGGCGATTCACAATCATGCTGAGTGCAATGATTTCTGACTGAAAAACACATCGGCGATGACCTTCAGCCAATGAGAGACCAAAATACAGGGCAGCGGGAAGTTCGGGGAGGAGTTATATGAAACGTAGTTTGTGGACCAGTGTTGCCAAATCCGCGATTGCCGCCGGTTGTTTTTTATGTTAGCATGTTGAATCGACCCCAATAACGTGATATTTAGGCCCTGGAATGTAAATTGTACCGATCCGAACCCGAACCCGACCCGAAACCCGAAAGTATTTCGGGACCCGTCGGGCTTGGGTCGGGTAGCAGACCTTTACCCCGAACGTGATTTTTACTGGGGGACCCCCTCTAAAGCAATAAATAAATTAAAAAATAGATAAAAAACAAAATGATGGTGAGAATGGATTGCAGGGTCTGAAAAAGGTTAATAATAAAATTATGATTGTTTTGTGTTCTATATATCTCAGATGCCTCTGTTGGAGACTCATTTGTTGCGGACACATTGTGAGCTGCGTTTGGCCCATCTGGCTTTGAGCATGATGACTGTGGGTTACGTATGGCAAGAGGGCGAGAGAGAAACAATAAAAGTACAACAATAATTTTATATGCATTCCAAAACCACTAATAGGATTGAAGCCAGTGATTCCATACTTACCCAAAGCGTCACTAATCTACAACTCTGAACTGATCAGATAAGCTTTTTATATTCATTGTCATATTCTTTTCTATTCATTCACATTATTTTACAGATCATCTGTGTATATTGATTTGAATTACTGTACTGGTTTTCTTTCAATTCATAATTTTTTTTGTGTACACATTTTGTTTTATTTCTTTTTATCTAAAACATTCAGTTTATAAAAATTAAATGTATGTCTTTATTGTTTGTAACATACTGGGA